GACCTCCTTGGACGGCAGGTACTCCACGACGTGGTAAACCAGGCCCGGGTTGTCTGTCCCCCACAGCACCAGCACCTACACGAACACCACAGCTCACCTCCTCTGTGAACGTCTCTAGGTTCTCGATGTTGATGTTCTTGGACGGCAGGTACTCAACGACCCGTCACGTTGTACACCAGCCCAGGGTTGTCAGCCTAATGTCCCTCACCTCCTCTGTGAATGTCTCCAGGTTCTCGATGTTGATGTTCTTGGACGAAAGGTACTCCGTCACATTGTACACCAGCCCGGGGTCGTACAGCCCCTCGCAGCACCACCAACCCACGAGAGCAACACACCCATCTCACCCCTCACCTCTTCGGTGAATGTTTCCAGGTTCTCAATGTTGATGTTCTTGGACGAAAGGTACTCAGTCACGTTGTAGACCAGCCCGGGGTTGTCAGCTCCGCGCAGCACCAGCCGCCGGAACTTGCGCTTCGGTGCCGTCTCGTCACTGCGCTCGTCCACTGTCCACCGTGTGCTCACCTGGAGAATGGACATGGGGCACGTGGGTGATTGGATTCAGGGCATGCACACAGTCAGTCACCTCTACCGCCGTCTCCTCACTGCGCTCGTCCACCGCGTGCTCACCTGGGCATAGGCAGGTTTGAGTGGGTGAGGGTAGGTTTGAGTGGGTGAGGGTAGGTTTGAGTGGGTGAGGATAGGTTTGAGTGGGTGAGGGTAGGTTTGAGTGGGTGAGGGTAGGTTTGAGTGGGTGACGGTACATACATGGTCAAACACCTCTCATATCGTCTCCTCACTGCGCTCGTCCACCGCCCACCACGTGGTCACCTGCACATGGGGGCTGGGGTTCGTTGAAAGCGGGTGTGTGTGGGTATGGGCGGCGTTCAACAGGTGTGGGTATGGGTGTGGGTGTGGGTGTGGGTTTTGGTGGGACTGATTGGGTGTGGGTGTGGGTGTGGGTAGGGTTGATTGAATGTGGTCAAACCACCTGCCTCTCAAACACCTCTCCCCCTTTCCCTCACTGCACTCGTCTACCATTCGCTGTGTGCTCACCTGCACACGCGGGGTAGGGTGTGGTATGCGGTGGGACTTGGGATGCGGGTTGGGTTGTGGATTAAAGTGTGGCTTTGGGTCAGAGTTTGGTTGGGCTGGATGATAGTAGGTATGGTTCGTTGCACTTTTCACCAGCACCCCTCCATCTCACCTGCAGCCCCCCACTCGCACCCGTCCCCCTCCCTCTCACCGTCACCCTTCTTTCTCCCTCTCATCTGGACCCCTCCCTCGCTCTCTCACCCGCACCCTCCTCCCTGCCCGCACCTGCACTCATCCCCCTCCCTCTCTCCGGACTCCTCCCCACCCCTCCCTCTCACCTGCAGACCTTGAACTTCCAGCAGCTTTAGGCGAAGGTCCTCCGCTATCCGGGGCGACCTGAGAACGAATGGGATGGAGGGCAGGCAGACGACGGACCAGCGTGAGTGCACGAAAGAGAGAGAGGGCGAGCACGTGGGGCGACGACGCGCTTTTTTTTGGGGGGCGAAATGAGGCGCTGGAATGGGGAGGAGGGGGGGGAGGGGATTGGGTCTCAAGACGCACACAAGGTACTCAAGCCACTCAAGGCATTCAAACACGCCAACGCACTCACGTGGCGTCGACGCGGATGAGCATGATGATGGAGAAGTCCCCCGCCAGCCGCGCCATGCGGCTCTCCTCCACGTTCCCCCCGCACTCGAGGATGCGCTTCGCCAGCGTCGACACGATGCCCAGCCTGTCCGGGCCCGAGGCTGTTACCACCAAGTGCCGATCAGGGGACGCGCCTGGCGGCGGATGAGGGGGAAAGGGAGGGGGAGGGGGAGGAGGGGGGAGGAAAGGGGGTGCTGATGAGGGGAAATATCACGTGCCATGCGGCTCTCTCTCCTCCCGCTTCGCCAGCGTCGACACGATGCCCAGCCTGTCCGGGCCCGACGCCGTCACCACCAAGTGCTACTCGGGGGACGCACCTGAGGGGGGAATGGAAGAAGAGCGGGGGAAGGGGAGGGGGAAAAGGGGTGCGGATGAGGGGAGATATCACCTCCCATGCGGCTCACTCCCTTCCCCCCCCTCGCAGCGTCGACACGATGCCCAGCCTGTCCGGGCCCGACGCCGTCACCACCAAGTGCCGCTCGGGGGACGCGCCTGGGTATGCGACGGGTGGTTGAACGGGGGGGGAGGGTGGGAGAGAGGAGGGGTGCGGGAAGAATGGGTGCAACAGAAACAGATAATACAGTAAAGGGGAGGATCGGTGGGAGGGTCATTCACCATTGCCACTCTCCTCGACGTTGCATCCAGCGCTACTCCAATAACTCCTTCGCCGGAGTTGACACCGTCCAGGATGGGTCTCATATACCGACCATACGCCTTTCTGGTCAGATAAGCTGAATGATTCTCGGGGTGACAGCCTACTTGACGTACGGCCTAATAGCCACATGTTGCTCTGAGACGTCTCATTACAAATTTACTTTCACTGACGTATGGCCCAATAGCTCCATGTTGCCCCGCAGCTGGAACAACCATAACCTCCAATCTGCAGTCATGGTGAGTAGTTAGCACTTAATGGCAGCCGGCCTTCTTGTCTGCGTCATTCCCTTCACAAGCCGTCCTGCTACGACTGCCAGGATAAATCATCGCTGTAAAACAAGTCAATTTCTGGATAATTTAAATCACTCCTGAGGAAATCCGGTGTCCAACCCGAATCTCTGAATAACTGACTTCAGTCAACAGGTAGTTTCGCTACTCACCAGTGTCCTTGGAGCGACTCGCTATTTCTTGCCAGAACGCGTCGCTCCCATTTCTGAATTCGCGATACGCTTCTCTCAGCTGCTTGGAGACTACCACGGCTGCTGCCGAGCTGCCACGTGTCGCAATAAGACGCCGCAGCGCTAGCATGGCTGCTCTGTTGCCACTACTACTGATGAATGTCGTAGCGCCAATGCGAAATGAGGAAATGCTACAGGTTTTCGATTAGGTTAAGGAATTTCACAATGTGGTCGTTTGATAAGCTGGCGGCGTAATCTCTAGAGACTAGAAGGGAAAAGGAGCCCGACGAGGATGTGACAGGCGAAGATTGTGCAATCGTTACTTCACCGATAGTGTACTAGGATCCCTAGCACAAGGGGACAGCCACGGGAAGATTCAGTCACGAAAAGGTTTGTCGCCCCGCTTTTCATAAAGGTTGATCAACAGGAGGCTCAGCAATGGCGGGAGAAAAACAGGGATGAGCAATGGCTCCACATCACAATTGTGAGGTGGAGTGGAGGTGAAGGACTTCAGGTGAGAGAACGAGGGGATGGGGGAATGGAGGGAAAGGTTGAGAAACGGCTACTTGCCCTCAAATAAACTCGATTAGCTGCTACCACTTATACGACCTCGAATATCGACGTCTCTGTAATCATTTTTTTACTGTTTGAGACAAAACGGCTCAGTGGTTTGTGAGTAGTTTTTAATTGCTACTAGACACTTAGGTGAGACATTGCTTAAATGAGGAACTCAGCGTGGTGTCAACATCACCGTGTTTCTGAATCATTCGTGAGGATTCTGGGGCTCGGCTTCTACAAGCAAACCAGTGGATATGCCCGTTAGGTGGGACCACCTGCGAAAATCCGTTCAACGTCATTCGTGGTGCGACTTGCGTTGCGAAATATTGGTGACGAGGACGTCACGAAAGCCGCGTCACTGGATCCTGACATCGAGGCTTCCTGGCTTCCAGAAGGCTTTCCTTTTCGTCCTTGAAAGGGCTGTGCTCCAGCCTTACCTGCTGCTGCCGCTTTCTGGCCTCACGCGGTCCGGGTATCATATTCCCGCCAAAAATCCCAAAAGGAACCGCGTTATTAGTACAATACACCAAAACGACAGTCAAGATGCCGGCTACAATGGACTCAAATATATGACATGCAGTTGAATGAGTGTCTGTGACTAAAGTCAGTTGAATGAGTGTCTTAAGACAAGAAAGTGGCCTGGAAAAGCTCTACCCGAGACACAGCTGAGAGGCATGATGATGCGGCCTAAAAAAAGGAGTTGAACTCATACCTACCCTCAGAACCCCACAATCCATAACATTTGGTGCACATAACTGGGATCATACTTGCGATCCACCAAAACCAGACAATCTGCTAGTGTAGAAGGGCCTGTGTCAACAAAGCCTTCATGTGCCAGCTCGGCAATAAATCATGAATAAATACACTGAAACTACAGCTGTTCTCAAGCACATCAAACAGCATAGGTGACCGTTCTTCGTGTGTCCTTGAACAAAGGTGCTGCTTCAACATCAAGTGAAGCGCTGCGCATGTGTCCCAGCCTGCCCCTGCTCCTAAAGCGAATAAGCAGCTGTGAGAGCAGCTTCGGGTCGACAGGCTTCTGCAGAACGCCATCAAAGCCACTCGCAAGGCAGCGCCGCGTAATTTCATCGTCCACATCTGCTGTGTGTGCTACTATTAGGAGCCGAGGCACCGAGGGGGCAGGAGGAGTGGTGGCACAGGCTGGACTCTCGTTGCCCTGTCCTATTTTTCTTAAAACTGATGCTTCGGAGGTGGTTTGTGAGGCTGATGCACGTTCAAGGGCTGTGGCGGTCTCATATGCTCGTATGGCCGCAGTTGCAGCGAAGCTGGGGTGCAAAGAATGGGAGCATGGGTGGATGGAGGAGGGAGCAACGTGTTTGAGAAAGGGCATGCGGCTGAGCAGTAGCATATGGAAGGCCAATAACAGAATGAATGACAATAATGACAATAACAGTAATGTAACAGTTATAATATCACTAGTATAACTACTATTAGTATTATTATTGTCATTCTTCTTCTTCGTATGATTATTATTACTATAATTCTTCATATTAGTATTATAGAACACACAAAACTCACCCGTCCATGAAAGGCATCTGAAGGTCCATGAGCACCACATGCCCATGCCACTTGGACTTCACACCCCCTTCCCCCTCCCACCCTACCATCCACCCATGCCCACAACACGACTCACCCGTCCATGAGGGGCATCTGCAGGTCCATGAGCACCACATCCACATGCACATGCCCCTCCACCGCCTCTGCAGCGCCTCCCAAGGCAGGCCCCATGGGGTGTGCGCTGCCCCTCAGACTCAGAGTGTGCTTGACTCGCCGCAGCGCCTCCTCCCCGCTGGCTGCGGTGGCGACGGTGGCGCCGCTGCGAGTGAGAGTGCGGCGCGCCACCAGCAGATTCACCGCCGCATCGTCCACCACCAACACCCCCACCCCCCCCAGCACCCCGCCACCCTGCTGCACAGCACTCAACCCCTTGCCTGCCTGCACACCCACCCTCTGCACCACCCCCGCACCCTGCAGCACCGCACCCAACTTCTTGCCTGGCAGGGAACCACCGTTGCGCTGCACCTCTCGGGCTGAATTGGAAGCAGCAGCTGGTGTGACTGCACTGGCAGAGAGAGAGCGCATGCCTGTGACTGCACCGGGTCCTGCCACTGCTTCTGCTGCTCCTCCTGCTTCTGCTGCTCCTCCTGCTTCTGCTGCTCCTCCTGCTTCTGCTGCTCCTCCTGCTCCTGCTGCTCCTCCTGCTCCTGCTGCTCCTCCTGCTCCTGCTGCTCCTCCTGCTCCTGCTGCTCCTCCTGCTCCTGCTGCTCCTCCTGCTTCTGCTGCAGTTCCTGCTTCTGCTGCAGTTCCTGCTTCTGCTGCAGTTTCATGCATCCCAGTCACTTCTACTGCCCCGTCTCCCTTACTACTGCTGATGCTGCTGCTGCCTCCGCCGCTGCTGGAATCACCACTCCGTACCGCACCCAACCTCGTCTCCAACACCTGTGCGCTCGTCTCCTTCGCCTCACACTCCCCACGCCCACCTTGCTTCTTGTCATCCGGCCGCGCCTCTCCGCATGCAACGTTGGTGCTTCCGAACGCTGCTAGCTGGGAGCAGAAGAGATGTGGGGGTGAGGGGAGATTGAGAGTGCATGCGAGAGAACAGAGACAAAGGATAATCTGAAGGTGACTCATTCATGGTTGAAAATGAGAGCAGGAGAGCAGGGGGGAAGGCTGGGTTGCGAAGGCAAGAGAGTAGTCGGAGTGAAGGACGAAGGGAGGGGACAGGTGGTAAGAAGAAGGAGCTGCAAGTATGAGGAATTCGACCATTAATGCTCACCTGATGGCAACAGGGGCTCACCTGATGGCAACAGGGGCTCACCTGATGGCAACAGGGGCTCACCTGATGGCAACAGGGGCTCACCTGATGGCAACAGGGGCTCACCTGATGGCAACAGAGGATCACCTGATGGCAACAGGGGCTCACCTGATGGCAACAGGGGCTCACCTGATGGCAACAGGGGCTCACCTGATGGCAACAGGGGCTCACCTGATGGCAACAGGGGCTCACCTGATGGCAACAGGGGCTCACCTGATGGCAACAGGGGCTCACCTGATGGCAACAGAGGCTCACCTGATGTCAAGAGCTGCTCACCTGAACGGCGTGGTGCAGATGGTGAGAGAGCAGCGGGCGGCAACAGATGACCACCCGAGGAGGCACGGTAAAGGCAGAAGGAGCAGAGGCAGAGGCAGAGGCAGTAGCAATTGCTGTAGCAGCTGTGAACGGTGATCGTTGCAGCTGTGACTGCAGCTGATCACAAATTCCTTCTCTTCTCCTTCTGGCCTCCTCATCACCTTGCTTCTCTCTCCCCCCTCCCACACTTCTGCCCTCCCCCTCCTCCTCTTCCACCTTTGCCCCCTCTTCCTCCTCTACCTTCTCTTCCTCCTCTTCCACTTCCCCTTCCTCATCCTCCTCTCCATCCCCAATCACATCCCCACCAGAGCAGTCCGTCACAACGACCACTCCAACCACCAGAGCACCACGTGCCATCCCTTCCATCCCTCTCACCGCCCGCACGCCTGCCTGCCACACTGCTGCCTCCCAACTGCCTGCCACTGCACTGATACAAGCTACCTCACCACTGCTGCTTCCTGTTGCTTCCCTTGCACCATTGCAAGCTACCTCCCCTCCTGCCTCTCTGCTGCCTGCCCCTGCCGGCACCAGCGCCACCACAGGCCCTCTCTCACCCCGAGACACACCCGCTCCCCTCCCTCGCCCATCCTCCCTGCATGACCCATTGCCAACACACTCCTGAACAATCCCACCACTGGCAAACGCACCGTTCAAAGCAGCCCCTCGTGCTTCCCTACTGTTTTCTCTCAACAAATCCTCCTCCTCCACCACCATCACCCAAGGGGTACGTTTGCTCGTCCCCTCTCCCTCTAAACAGATCCCCCCTCCTTCCTTTACACGCATCCTCACTCCTCCCTCTGAACGCATCCCCTCTCCTTCTCCCGTGATCCCCTCTTCTTCTCCCTCTACATACGTCCTCTCCCCCTCTCCGTCTAAGCACATCCCCCCTCCGTCACGTTCTCTGCCTTGCTGCTGCTCACTCCCCGGGGACGACAGCAAGCGCACTCGTGCCCCGAGACCTGAGAGAACGCGAGTTGTGAGCTGGCAAGGGTGTAAGACAGAGGAGGAGGGATCGGGCAAGCGCAAGAAATTCAAGGGAAAGGCCAGCCAAGATACACGGAATGGAGGGTAAGGATAGGAAGAGAAAGAAAACGCACACTACAAAGGGGTCCCAGAAAGCAAGGAGAGCGAGGAAGGTGAGGAGGTTGGGGGGGAGGGGGGGGTGTTTGAGAGGGTAAGAACAGAGAGAGAATGGAAGCAGCAAATAGACCGTTATGCCCTCTCAAAAAAATGCCCACCACCAGTCCCCCTAAGCCCACATGCGATCAATGAAGCAACGGTTAAGTCCCTCACACGGATCCCTCCCACTGCTCACCACTCTCCTGACCCCATCAGATGCCACCACACCCACCGCCACTCCCTCCAAACCCACACTCTCAACCACCCCTGTGATGGTCAACACCCTCACTCACACCCCTGCCTCCCTCTGCTGGGTGCTCACCTCTCTCCTGACTCTATCAGACGCCACCACGCCCACTGCCACTCCCTCCAAATCGCCAGTGGGGGGAGAGGGGGAGTGAGTAACGGGTGCACAAGGAGCCGGAGGATGGGTGACGTGAGTGGGAGCGGCGAGGGGCGAGGGGGGCGAGGAGAAGGGGACAGAGAAGGCGAAGGTTGAGCCAATGCCGGGATGAGACAGGCAGGCCACATGACCGCCCATGAGGGTCACCTGGTGGGGGGAGGAGAGGAGAGGGGGTGGAGGGAAGGAGGGGAGGGGCAAGAACAGAGGAAAATGGGTTGGAAACGTCCCCTTTTTTTTGTTGTTTGAGCGAGACAAGACTGGCATGAGGTGCAGTGCCGTTAAAGACTCACTGGTGTGGGCTCCTCAAGAGGTACGAGCAAAAAGCAAGGTGCTCTTCAAGAGGAACATTCGTGGTGGCAAGGGTGATGGAGAGGAGATTGAAAAAAAAAGCGGCTCACTTCTCGTTCGAACATAACCATGGCCCTTATCAACGGCTCAGATTCAATGTGAACATTTCAGTCTCCAATATCGCCAGTGGAAAGATTGCCACGAGCCTCAAGCACGAGGGCAGTGCAAGAAGAGCACTCACCAGTTGGTGCGTGAGAGCAAGACCCAGCCCCGCTCCTCCACTCTCTGACCGCCCCTGAGAAACACAAAAGGCAATCAGACAACCAGAGGTGAGTGCGCGACAAGATATCTCATCTCAAAGACAGTCAGGCACCAGAGAGAGGGTGAAATCGTTCTTTCGAACCAGCGAGGCATCACACCAGAAGTGAAAGGGCACCCTAGGCTCTTGAGTCGACTCAAACAAGGCAGACACAGAGTTTGAGTCGACTCAAACAAGGCAGACACAGAGTTTGAGTCGACTCAAACAAGGCAGACACAGAGTTTGAGTCGACTCAAACAAGGCAGACACAGAGTTTGAGTCGACTCAAACAAGGCAGACACAGAGTTTGAGTCGACTCAAACAAGGCAGACACAGAGTTTGAGTCGACTCAAAACTTGCCGAACTGTGTTGCACAGTAGGACTTGCCAGGCCGACCTTCTGGATTGCACCACCAGCTGCACCATCACATGCCATGCCACCACGTGCATCCCCTCAGCCTCACCCACTCGCTCCTCCATCTCACCCACTGGTGAAGTCATCCTCAGTTCCTTACCTTCAACTCAAAGAGCCCTTCCTGCTTCTCCTCCTCCATGCCACACCCCGTATCTTCACACAACACAACCAGGAGCATCCACGCACTCCCATTCCAGCTGCCCCCCCTCCCACCACCGTCCTCCCAACCCTCCTCCGAATCCCCCTCTCCTCCATCCCCCCTCGTGACCTCACTCACTCCCTCGGCCGCCCACAGCCGTACAACAGACAAGCACCCTCCTACTGCATCCGCAGGCAAGCACCCTCCTACTGCATCTGTGTCCCCTTGCGCTGACGGCTCCTCGCTCTCACTGCTCCCGTCAATACTCTGGGGCACTCTCTGGTCGTTTCTCTCATCAAATCTCTGACTGCTGCTCTGACCAATTCTCCCATCAGCTCTCTGGAAGGCACTCTGGTAGCTACTCTGGTGGGTGCTCTCAGAAGTGCTCTGGTCACACGAGGGGCTGCCCTGGCAAGGCGTCAGGAGGAAAGCTCTGGTGCAGAGAACCAGGCGGGCAGGCAGGCTGGCGAGCCAGGAGAGAAACGATGGAGGGGGAGGAGGAGGCGAGGGCGGGAGCGGGGCGTCTGAAGCATCTGAAGGGGACGAAAGGGAGAGACAGAGGGACGGGAGGTGGGAAGGGAGGAGTCGGGTGTGTGGGGGAAGAGAGAGGTAGCACAGCGTGAGAAGACGAGCAAAAGAAAGGGCTATTTCTTCAAAAGCGAAGGGCAAACTTCGCCAATCGACGCACTGGGAAACTGGAGGGGATAAGTGTGTTTCACGTGAAGGGTTGGAACTTGGAACGAAGTAAGAAAACGCTGCTGGTCTGGCTGTCATGAGAGCACTGACTGGGGTGTATTTTTGAGTCGACTTACAAGTAGACTAATCTCATCACACGCTGGTCTGGCTGTCATGAGAGCACTCACTGGGGTGGTCAGTGCCTTACTGCAGAGCAGTGAAAGCCAAGGGTTGGAACTAAGCAGGAAAGAAACATCCTGTTTGACTGGTCTGGCTCATATGGAAGTACTGAGGTGGTTGGGCTTGGGAGCACTCACTGAGCTGGTCTAGTGCTTGCTGCAGAGTGGTGGAGGCGGGGCATACAGACACTCGCAGCAGTACGTGTCCACTCCCTGTGTAGCGCAGTGCATTGTCTGGGAGAGATGGCATGGCATCACGGGAGGGATGGGGTCATGAAAGGGCTCGGATTCATTCAACCTTGTAGTGGGCTCCAGTTTTATTTGTGCTTATCTCCGAGCTTCTGGTGGAAATTTTGAGCCATAAACCTTTTGAGGTGCCTCAAAAGCCATAAATCCCCTACCTGTGAGCAGTTTAATGAATCGAGTTGAGACTGTGAGCTGTGAGCCCCACGAGTGAACATATAGAGCATCGAGAGACACATATGAGCTATGAGTCTTGCCTACGAGTTCTTGAAGAGCTTGAGTTAGTCCCATCGGTGAGATTTAAGAGCATTGAGGGACAAATGTAAGTTGCATGCTTTAGCTGTCAGATGTCGTCTCGCAGTGCGCGTGTGGTGCCTCTCACAGTGCGCGTGTGGTGCCTCTCACAGTGCGCGTGTGGTGCCTCTCACAGTGCGCGTGTGGTGCCTCTCACAGTGCGCGTGTGGTGCCTCTCACAGTGCGCGTGTGGTGCCTCTCACAGTGCGCGTGTGGTGCCTCTCACAGTGCGCGTGTGGTGCCTCTCACAGTGCGCGTGTGGTGCCTCTCACAGTGCGCGTGTGGTGCCTCTCACAGTGCGCGTGTGGTGCCTCTCACAGTGCGCGTGTGGTGCCTCTCACAGTGCGCGTGTGGTGCCTCTCACAGTGCGCGTGTGGTGCCTCTCACAGTGCGCGTGTGGTGCCTCTCACAGTGCGCGTGTGGTGCCTCTCACAGTGCGCGTGTGGTGCCTCTCACAGTGCGCGTGTGGTGCCTCTCACAGTGCGCGTGTGGTGCCTCTCACAGTGCGCCTGTGGTGCCTCTCACAGTGCGCGTGTGGTGCCTCTCACAGTGCGCGTGTGGTGCCTCGTAGGTGAGTCTCTCACTCCGAGTGAGTGGTGGGGTGCCTCACCTACGAGCTCTTGCAGCGCCTGTGAGACAAATGTGACACATGTGAGTGGTGGGGTGCCTCACCTACGAGCTCTTGCAGCGCCTGTGAGACAAATGTGACACATGTGAGTGGTGGGGTGCCTCACCTACGAGCTCTTGCAGCGCCTGTGAGACAAATGTGACACATGTGAGTGGTGGGGTGCCTCACCTACGAGCTCTTGCAGCGCCTGTGAGACAAATGTGACACATGTGAGTGGTGGGGTGCCTCACCTACGAGCTCTTGCAGCGCCTGTGAGACAAATGTGACACATGTGAGTGGTGGGGTGCCTCACCTACCAGCTCTTGCAGCGCCTGTGAGACAAATGTGACACATGTGAGTGGTGGGGTGCCTCACCTACGAGCTCTTGCAGCGCCTGTGAGACAAATGTGACACATGTGAGTGGTGGGGTGCCTCACCTACGAGCTCTTGCAGCGCCTCTGAGACAAATGTGACACATATGAGTGGTGGGCTGCCTCACCTATCAGCTCTTGCAGCGCCTGTGTGAGCCGCATGGCATCAATCTCCAACTCCTCAGGCACGTTCGCATCCACCACTCCCACCACTGCCATGGCATGGGGGGATGGGATTCGGAGAAGAACAATGAAATTGGACAAGCAATACTGAGAGATGAAAGGAGATACATACGAGGCAGACGGAAATAACAACTGGGTCCAACAATGGTCAAGCAGAACCACAAAAACGACTCCTATTTACATGGTTATGCGCTTGCAACAACATGCCTCGACTTTTACACGGTCCCCTTCACCCACCAACCACACACTCACATTCAATCCCGTTGTCGCGAGCCCTCCAGTAGTTCTCCCCAACAACGCCCTCCAGCCACGCCCTCGGGTCAACCGGCCCACAACAAAGCCCCATCTTGCGCGCTTCAAGCTTGGAGAGGTCGAGCACGCGATTCACCAGCCGCACTGTGTCCTCCGCTGCTACCCTCGCCTCCCCCACATCCGCTATTTGAGCCCCACTAAGCCCCATGTCTGCCACCAGAGCGTCTAACAACCCCATGATGCCGATCATGGGCGTGCGCAGCTCGTGAGACATCGACGCCACGAACAGGCTCTTGGACCGCTCCGCTGCGCGCGCGCTGGCTCGAAGGCGGTCGGCCTCTGTCATTCCGTCCTGGCTTCGTAAGTACCCCACGCGCTGCTGCCATGCTACGGCTGCTACTAATGCTGTCAGGACGACGGCGAGTAATGCCCAGAGGAAGGGAATGCCCCACAATTGCCATGCATCGGAAGGCTCGGAGTATCTGGTGGTAGCAGCGATGGAAGGGAGTTGGGAGCACGGAGTTGCAAGAATTTCTGCCATGCTACGGCTGGCAGACACCAGGGCTGCGAGCACCAGGGCGAGTAGAGCCCAGAGGAAGGGCACACCCGCCCCATGAGTGCCACGCGGCAGTCGGGAGGCTTGAAGTACCTGGCGGTAGGAGGTGGACAAACTTGAAAGGCAGGAACAACGGGAAATGCTACCAGCGACATTTGCGCTGCTACTTGCGCAGACGGCAGTGCACTCTCCGAACCCAACCCCATGTTGTGTAATCCCATCATATACATTCACGTCTGTCTGTCTGCCTCCCATCACATGTTCGTACTTTGCATGCGTGGTATGCGTGTGTGAAAGACTTTGTATTTGACATGGTTTGGATGTTGTGAGTATGTGTGATTTACATTTTGCTTGACCAGATATCCGAAATTACTTTTCTGCTCAAGAGCTTTCCGACGAACCAAGAATCGCCTCAATCGAATCACGAACGAGAATGTTACGAACGATTGAAGTTCGTATGATTCTGATATTTCGTTGCGGCAACTTTGAGAATTTGTGGGGTGACTTCTTATGGGGTATAGACCATTGGGGGTTGGGAAAATTCGTTACTTTCACTGTAGTTACTGCCAAGTGGTTGGGAGAAATCAAATCAGATTGGCAAGTGTGGCCAATTTGGGTGAAGTGGATTTGAGAGATTGAGAAAATGACAAGGGTGAAAGTTGAGTTTCTATGGAGAGGGAATTTGTGAGCTTATGAGGTTTGCTTGGTTAATGACTCTTTAGGATCCTTCCCTCTCGTCCTCTTTTTCTTCCCTCACCTTGATTCTTGCTACTCTAATCCCTTTTGTGGTTCTTGGTTGAAGTTTGAGTTATGAGTTAAGTTTCAGCTCCAGCATACCCCGCTATGCGCAGAAATTAATATCTCGGCGAATACTAAACATCTTGATACGAGTCAAATAGGGTTTGGTAGCTATGCTCTACAACTACAACATAGTTGATTTTTGTGAAGTTCTAGTTGTGCGTTTTTCATCGACGTCGTTTCTTGTGGAGACGAAATTTTCTGTCCAGAAACATAGTTGACGATTTTGAGTTATTTCAGCCCCCTAAACGACATAGACTCTGTCCTTGATTCTAACACCCAACCCGCACCCAACCGCACTCCTCAGAACTGCACTCACCGGCACCAGACCTGGTACTGGCGCAGGCGGCCGCCCAGCAGGTCCAGTGGCACGACAGCGCGCTGCTCCCAGGGGCGCGTGACGTTGGCGGGCGAGGCGGCAGTGAAGGGCACAATGTCTCTCTCCTTGTAGAAGATGAGCCTTGGGCCCGACCCGTAGATCATGGTGGGCGCACTCGGGTCAGTTGTGTCGTACGCCTCGAATGTGATTGAAGGGTCTGCAGAGCGGTGATGAGGGGTTGAGGGCGGTGATGAGGGTTGGTAATGAAGGGTGGTAAGAGAAGAGGAAGGGAAGAAAGGGACCATGTGAAGGGAAAAGGAGGTGTCACGAGAGGAGTGAGAAAGCGAGGTTTTGACCTCCTGTTGAGATAATACTGCATTAAAGTGCTAGCAGCAATCAAAGACGACAAATCTAACCGGAACAATCTTTCAAATAAATAAAGCTTCGGAAATGAAACCTTAACAGCTGCAGTACCTTAGCCGGACACGTTTCCCAGTTAAGACGGCTCCACAAATGGAACCCTGACGCAGCAGCTTCTGCTGCAATACCTGGGCCAAACACCTTGGTGAGCACGTTTTTGACAATGGAGGAGACCAGGTCAACAACCGACCCTTGAGGTGCCTCAACTTAACCTCAACGGACGATTTCTGAAGCACGTCAATAATAGTTTTTTAGGCGCCTTACCTGCAGCAGCGGCAGCTTGTGCTGCTGCAGTACCTGGGGTGAACACCTTGGTGAGCAGTGAGCACGTTTCTGGCGATGGGAGGTGAGGTCGACAACGGAACCCTGCCGCCCCAAAAGGCGACTTTCGAGGCTCTGGAATATACCCTTAAAGTGCCTCAGAATGAAGTACCTGGGGTGAACACCTTGGTGAGCACGTTTCTGGCGATGGAGGTGAGGTCCACCACGGACCCTGCCCCCCCGATCACTGCTTCCTCTGCCTGCTGCTGCGTTGGGTTTGGCGGCAGGGGGTGCTGCAAAATGGGAAAGCCCACCGCTGGCACGGGGCAGAACGGGAAAGGAGGATACGGAGAGAGCGAGAGAGGGAGAGAGAGAGAGTCGCGTTTGCTCTCTTGTATCAATACGGGGCCAATGGAGAAAGCAATAGGGAGGGAAGGGGAGGAGCTGAAGGAGGGGTGCGTGGAGCGCCCCATTTCCAAACCACGATGAAGAAGGCAAGTGGTGGCTCAATTAGTGAATTGGCTGAGAAATAAAAGAGAGCAAGAAAGAAACACACACACACACACACACACACACACGCACGCACGCACACACACACACACGCACACGCACACGCACACACATCTCACTAACAACCACGGCTCACCAACACCGGTGAGATTGTAGCTGAGGTTTCCGACCGGCGTCACAACACCATACCCAACCTCCCCAGTGCGCCTGAGAAAGGCAAGCTCGTCGGGTATGCGCTGAACGAGGTCCATGAGAGGGATGGAGGAGCGGTAGTAGTGGATGTCGAGCATCTTGGGGCAGTAGAGTGGCTGCCGCTGCTGCGGCCGCCCTGCCATGTCCACGATTGGCCCCCCCCACTGCCGCTCAAACGCAGGCCTGGTGACGGAAGGAAGAACACACATGCGAGAGGTGCACGAGAAAAGGAAGGGATTTTAGTCAGAATGAGAGAGAGAGAGAGAGAGAGAGAGAGAGAGAGAGAGAGAGAGAGAGAGAGAGAGAGAGATCTTCGCGACTCCTTCGCGATCTGCATGTTCACTCCGTTACTCCACCTGGCGGCCAATCCTGAGTCTCCACCAGGATGGAACTTACTGACTTTTCTCCCGCGCTTACTCCTCCGCACCTCGTCAGCCCGCAAACCAGACTGGAGCGCGATGATGAATCGGCTCCAGCGATTTCGCCAAGGCCTTTGGGGGGACCTGTACGAAGAAGCTGTCCAAGCGATCTCACTGCCACCGCAACCTCGCCACTCACCTGACACAACGGGGATACTGGCACGGGCAGAAGGACTCGCAAAACGGGGTAACCTGTCAAAATCACTCCAATCCCTCCAGGCCACTCCTGTGTCTCCCGCCTCACCTGAAGTGTTGGAAGCCCTCACGACGAGACACCCATCCGCCTGCCAACCACTTCCTGACTGGCTCCGCACCGCCACAGCGGAAGACCCACCCACTATCGAAGCTCGCGACTTCAGACGCCTCCTCGCCAAACTCCCCAACGGAGTAGGGGCCGGCCCATCTGGAACAACCTTCGAGCACATCCGCGACGCAGCCCTGGGCAACGCCGAAGTACTCACCCACCTCCTCGCCCTCACTAACACAGCGCTAGCAGGAAAACTCCCCACAGTCGCGGGGGATCTTCTAACGGCATCCCGCCTGTTAGCATTTACGAAACCACAGGGAGGGACGCGGCCGATTGCGGTGGGGGAGTGCCTCCTCCGGATAATAGCAAAAGCCGCGCTCTTCCTCACTGCACCGGCCGCTCGTACTCACTTTGCTCCGCTCCAGTTCGGAGTCGCAGTAGCGGGAGGGATCGAAGCGGCTATCCACTCCGCTCGCACGTACCTGGAAGTGCACCCAGGGGCAGTGGCGCTGCAGATTGACCTCGCGAATGCGTTCAACGCGGTCGAAAGGAGGGCGGTGTTTGAAGGACTGAAAAACGAGGCGCTGAAAGAACTGATTCCCCTCGTCCGCCTTTCCTATGGGACTCCCTCCTCGCTCTTCCTCGACCACGACTTCGGCGCAGCCCCGCTGCAGAGCGCCAGGGGTGTTCGCCAAGGAGACCCGCTCGGCCCACTCCTGTTCGCGGCTAGCATCCACCCGTGCCTTGTGGACACGGCGGCTGCACACCCTCAGGTGGTCCTGCTGGCGTACGCCGATGATATCACGCTGCTCGGCGACGCCACGGCCTGCTCTGCGGCTTTCGACCACCTCACCTCTGCTTTAGCCGCCCTCGGCCTGGTGCACAATCCGGCTAAGTGCGCGGCGTGGTCCGCCGCTGCAATCGACGCCTCCTCAGTCCCCCCAGGCGTCACTATCTCTGAGGAGGGTTTGCAGATTCTCGGCAGCCCCGTGGGCACTGCCCGAGGCTGCGCAGATGCTGTGAGAGCGAGATTGGAAGCAGCAGCAGCGCCTCTCCCCCTGCTGGCCCAGATGGACCCCCAACTTGCCCTCCTCCTCCTCACCCGCTGTGTCAGCCGCCGAGCTTCCTTCCTGGCCAGAACCACCCCCCTAGAGGCCCTCCCTGAAGCCGAATGGTCCGCTTGGGGGGAACAACCCCTTCACACCTTCCTAGAATCGGCCCACATCATGAGGCCGAGGAGCGCCAGGGAGAGACGGAGGATTTGGCGGCAGGCGGCCCTGCCAGTGACTTTGGGAGGCCTGGGCATCACTGACCCCGCCGTTGAAGGCAGCTATGCCTACCTCGCCTCAGTGATCAGCACAGCCCACCTCTTGCACTCCCTGGAGGACTCGTTGCACCCCGCTGTCGCCGCGCTCCTCCCCCTTTTGGACCCAACCCACGGCTCCCCACACGCGCTACCTGCACGCCTCGCCGCGGCTGAGGCAGCCCTGCCCCCCGAGGCTCTCGAGGTGCTCCAGGCCGGGAAGGCTGACCCCAAGGGACTGAAGCTGCAGCAGAACCTAGCACTGGCGGTTCACACCCGCCGCTTCCTGAGAGTCATGCGCGAGGCAAGGAGGATGCGCCCCAACCCCCGCTCTGGCCATGCGCAACGAATGCAGTCGGTGCTGGGCCCAGGCGCGGGGGATTGGCTGCTGGCGATCCCGCTCACCCCCTCGCTCCGGATGGGCCCGTCCCAGCTCTCAACTGCAGCTGCCTTCCGCCTAGGCCTCCCCCTCCCAGTGCCTAGACGCTGTGACTGCCGCTACCGCACCACCTTCCCCGACGACCGCCTCCCCAACCACCTCATGCGCTGCGAGAAGGGGAAAGGGAGGACCGCAACCCACCACGCTCTGCGGGATGAGATAGCGAACATTGGGGCGGAGGCGGGGTTTACGGTTCACAAGGAGACGTATGTCTACTCACTGGTTGAAAACCTAAAGGCGGATGTCACCATCCGTCATCCCCTGACTGGTGAGGTTTGGATGTGCGACGTGACCGTGACGGACCCGGTGTCAAGGCAGGACGAGAACTGCAACCGAGCTCCTGGATGGGCGGCCAGGGCGGCAGCAGAGAAAAAGGAGGATAAGTACGCACGGCGGAACGCGTGGGTGGGGTTCCACGCGCTTGCAGTGGAAACTTATGGCTACCCCTCGCCGGGGGTGATGGCTTACCTACGGCAGTGCGCAGAGCTGGCGGCAAAGCTGCGGTTTAACGCGGCTCCTACCTCCTACGAAGCAGCGAAGCTGCTGAAAGAGTTCCGCCAGCGCTGGAGCGTGTGCCTCCAGCGGGCGCAGGCCAACGCCCTCCGCACCAAGACCAACGAGGCCTTGGCGGCGGACGAGCTCGGCTTTAGAGGACCCATCATCCCTCTCAGTGAGGGACAGCTGCACCAGTTGATTGAGGCCCCGTTCGACCAGTAGGGTCGGACAGAGGGGGGGGGGGCGGAGTAGGTAGGAGACTTGAGGTAGCTCGGATCTCGGTTTGGATGTTTGTTGTGCTTGTGTGTTCTGCATCTTCCTTTGTACCTCCCCTCATAGTAATGCAAGGACCATTCGAGAGAGAGAGAGAGAGAGAGACTGGCTCAACGCATGCTTTCACTCTCAGGGTATGGGGCAGGAGACTGGCTCAACGCGGTCCCCTTCAACTCGACACTGCGGCTTGCCCCGGCTCACTTTGCGCATGCGCTGCAGTTCAGGATGGGGTTACCCTCCTCGGCACCTGGCGCGTGTGACTGCCGCAATAAGACGGCAATCCTTGACAGGCGCCTGCCCAACCACCTGCTGCGCTGCGACACGGGGAAGGGGCGGACCAACACGCACAATGAGTTGCGCGATGCGTGTGTACACATGGCCGCCGACGCTGACTTCATGACTCACAGCGAAACGACTACGTTCTGCCCCGTCACTCTGAAGAAAGCCGACATTGCGATCCGGGACAAGTCCTCAGGAGCGGTGTGGATAGGGGACGTGACCATCACGGACCCCATCAGCACACGGGATCCCAACGCGGTCAAGGGCAGGGGATGGGCGGCCAGGGAGGCAGCGGAGAAGAAGATCTCCGACTACGAGGGCTCAACGGCCTCGTGGGTCGGGTTCTTCCCCCTTGCCGTTGATACCTATGGCTGTCCTTGCGCGGAGGTCCCTCAATTCCTCAAACTTCTGGCCGACACCGGCGCGCGCCGGCTCTTCAACGCGGCCCCCTCATCTTACCAGGCAACAAAGCTGCTGCACCAGTTCCGCCAGCGGTGGTCCGTGGCGCTGCAGCGGGCGCAGTCAGTGAGCTTCATGACGAAGTGCAACTACGCGGCTCAGGTGGAGAACCCACCTGTGGCGCTGCCGGGCGAAGGAATGTCCCTCGGGGACTGCCTTGCCATCCTGGAGCCGGCATTGGAGCTGCCTTAGAGGGTGAAGGAGGGTAGGTAGGATGTGGGGGTTTTAGAAGCTGAGATGCATTGCTTCTTATATCCTTGTGCATGTCTGTACCTTGCTCGGATCTAATACACGGACCGCTTGAGAGAGAGAGAGAGAGAGAGAGAGAGACGCACTGCTATACCACGCACCCGCCCTCCCACCCACCCATCCCATCCATCACGCACCGTTCCTTATCAGTGACAAAGAGGCAGAGCATGGCACCGGTGTTGCCTGGGCGGGAATAACCCGTCTGGTTGATGTACTTATCCCACCGCACGCGAGTGAAGCACCTATCCCACGTCCACTTGCCGCCGTCCCTCTTCGGCTTGCCCACCACCGCCACCAGCCCTGCGAATGTCTGCTAGGGATGGCACCAGGAGGTACATCCAGAGAAGGGCGAGTAAGAGGTTTCAAAAATCGTTCCTTAGCACCCGAAAAGCGTTCCTCTTCGACTTCCCCATCACCGCCACCAGCCCTGCGAATGTCTGCTCGGCTTTCGCGCCACCACCACCAGCCCTGGGAATGTCTGACAGGGATGGCTGACGATGGTAAGAGCAGAGCAGAGTCGCCTATTCTGCAGCAGGAACCCACATTGCACGGTAAGGATCTCATGCGGATCTGGCTGACGCTGGTGACAGCAGCGTCGCCTATTCTGGAGGTACCACTGCAGAATTTTCCCGTTTTTCAAGGCGCCTGAAAATCTTTTGAGGTGCCTCAAAAGTGAGATTCCGCGAGTGCATGCACGCGTGCGTCTGTTGTGCGGGAATCCGATCCAATCCATCATATGGTTGTGCAAAACTCACGCGGATCTGGTTGACGGTGGCGCGTGTGTGCTCGCTTGCATCTGTTCTGCAGGAATCCCATCCAACCCATCGCACGGCTGTGCGAAACTTACGCGGATCTGGCTGACGGTGGTGAGTGTGTGCTGCTCGAAGAGCTTGGCGCGCTCGTAGCACCACGTGTCGAGGTGCTGCCGCCGCTCGCTCTCGTACGATGCGTGCCGCGAGTAGCACAGCCACGCCGCCATCGACAACCCCGCCAGCAGCCATGCCGCCAGCAGAACCGCGAAGATGGGGCCTGGCGCGGGGGAAAGGGGGGTGGGGGGGGGAGGGGGAGGGGGGGGGGGGGGGGGAGGGGGAGGTGGGGGAGGGGGGGGTGAGGGGGTGGAGCAGTAGGTGCGTTTTGACGCTGAATCACGACCATGCATGAAAATGTATGCATCATGAGACACGTGCCTGGCAACGCCGTGACACATGCGTGGTGAAAGCACATCATTTCACCAGCGAAGCGCGCGCGATTCTGGGCTGTCACTACTACTGACTGGTTCAGGGCGGGGGGGGTGGCGAAACCCTAAATTACGCATCAAGCAGCAAGGCATCACCACGCCGTCGTAGTGCATTAACACGGTGTTTACTAATACAGACGCCGTTGTAGTGGGATAAATTCGTGGGCGCTTTTTTTATGAAAAAAGAGCCTTTCGCTGGCAATACGACTCTTCCAAGACGACCCCTTACTACCGACGTTGACACGTTTGAACCGTAGCGTACCTCGAATCACCACGTCTTGAATCGTGGACTTGCTTCTCGAACGCGGCATTGTTAAAGCCATGTCGTGAGATAGTACTTGCGTAATTTGCAGGGCACGAAAACACGTCTTAGGAACATTGCAAGGCAGCTGCTACTCTTCAATGTCAGGATAAGCTCAATGAAAGAACGGCTAGCATCCATGCTTCCGTGCCAAACCGTGGAACGACCTATCTCGACAGCCTTTTTTGAGAGAATTGCTCCAGTGCCTTGTTTGGTGATTCGCTCTTGCCCACGTGTCCCCTAATTGCTCGAGTGGCCATCCAAATCATTGATAATTGCTCGAGTGGCCATGCCAGGGCATTTTCGAGGTGTTTTTTCCCCTGGCACATAGCCCTACAAAGGTTCGTACCCCCGAAATTCCTCGTTCGCACAATAGTAGATGCGCGGTCATTTTCGGCCCAATGTGCGACCAATGAGCGCGTGGGCAATTACATCAGCGATCATAAACTGCAACACCAGAGCATAAATGCACGAACATATTATTGACCGCGCACGATTGGTCGATAATATGCTTCTTGCCCTTTTTGGCAATGCGCGTCCAATCACGCACGGTCATATAATTCACGACCATATATTTAGGCGATAAAGGGTCGCCCAAAAAACCAATATGAGCGCGCATATACTACCATTAGTTCTATCATATTTCCAGTCTATATAAAACCATGTATATCAAATGCCATAAATATATTCTCTGCTATTAATTTAAACCCATCATAACCGTGGTGGCAGCATATTATGCTGGGCTTAAATTAATATTATGCTACCGAACATATTATTTATGCAACCATATTACCGGCAATACAATATTATGGACCACGGTATGATGGGCTTAAATTAATATTATGATAGGCCACGATAAAATATTATGTCTAGTATGATGGGCTTAAATTAATAGCAGATAATATATTTATGTCATTTGATATACATGGTTTTATATGGACCAGACATATGATAGAACTAATGGTAGTATATGCGCGCTCATATTGGTTTTTGGGCGACCCTTTATCGCCTAAATATATGGTCGTGAATTATATGACCGTGCGTGATTGGACGCGCATTGCCAAAAAGGGCAAGAAGCATATTATCGACCAATCGTGCGCGGTCAATAATATGTTCGTGCATTTATGCTCTGGCGTTGCAGTTTATGATCGCTGATGTAATTGCCCACGCGCTCATTGGTCGCGCATTGGGCCGAAAATGACCGCGCATCTACTATTGTGCGAACGAGGAATTTCGGGGGTACGAACCCTTGTAGGGTTATGTGCCAGGGAAAAAAAAACACCTCGAAAATGCCCTGGCATGGCCAGTCGAGCAATTATCACTGAATTGGATGGCCACTCGAGCAATTCGGGGACACGTGGGCAAGAGCGAATCACCAAACAAGGCACTGGAGCAATTCTATCGCCTTTTTTATCAAATCGTGGAAATGAAGGAAAGAAGCTGTGAGAATGGAGATACTGTACACTACCTTGCAAACCACTTGCGTAAATTTGTCAGCCAGGAACAAAGATGTGGGTAGCTCCCGCCATCCACTTTGAAATTGCATTCCCCATGGCGACACATTTGCTTGAAAACTCTCGAGAAGAGTCAAAACTCACTGCAATGCAAATCACCGAAAAACGTCGGTGAGGGGAGGGGGAGGGGCAGCTTCAGTGTTCATGTTCAGGATGGTAGGCAGCGGTTCAAAGCGGTTAAGGATGGAAACCGCTTCAGAGTGCACAGCATCGTACTCAACAGCTTCAACTGGGGAAAACGTTTACTTTGGTGACCCGCCCAATACAAGTGAGTAGGGGGAGGGAGAACAAATGGAGCGACCCCCACGCTTGGATAAATGCAAGGCAATACCCCTTGTCGAAATATTTGGGCCTCAGGCCTGGACGTAGAGGATGGCTGGCAAATTGGTGCACGCTGGCTACGCTGGCTGGCGAGCCGCCAACTCTAACACGCGGGACATGAAATCGAATGCGAAGCGCTTCTTAAAATTCGGCAAACGAAGTAACCCCTTCTTCATGTCGCCCAGAGAGCTAGCAACGCTCACTGGAGTTTCGCCAACACTCGCCGCTCTCCGTTGGAATGTTGTTTGAGATCTCGCTAGCACGTTTTCCGTTTGCACGCAACGAAACCGGCTGTTGGAATCTGCCATACCTCCGAATATATCTCAGCGGACAAGCGAGTCCGCACGGGGGAGCTCGCTGCCCCCAGGCAAAAAAAATAAAACCCATTCGGGCATGCATCCGGTCAGGGAGGCATCAACCCTAAACACAGGGAGGCATGGATTTAGGGTTGATGCCTCCTTCGGATGGCATGCCATCTGATAGGGTTTTAGTTTTTTTCTGCCCGGGGCAGCATGTCGTCAAGTCGTCAATGGGTCGTCAGGCTTGACGACCCGTTTCCGCTGGGATATTCCTGCATTTTCGGAGCATCATTTAGGCAATACATCTCACTCGGTAGCGTCGGTAGCGCTCGGTAGCACTACAATTTCGCTAGACGACGCTACCGAGTGAGTCAGCATTCTGACCTCAGGCAGAAAAAACTAAAACCCATTTGGACTGCATGCCATTCGGGAGCCTCAACCCTAAAATTTTAGGGTTGATGCCTCCCGAATGGCATGCCTTCTGAGTGGGTTTTATTTATTTTATTGCCCGCTGACTAGCAGGCAGTGCAATTTATTATCCAGGTTACAACCAGTTGAGTCAAAGAGGCTGAGTACGTTTCTGTGCGCTTCAGAGCGGTGGTGTTTTTTCACCCAGCAGTCCTGATCAGCACGGTACGTATTGTCAAACTGTTATAATGCTTACTTTGTGTAGGCTATAGTGGGGTAGCCCATAAGGGGTACAACCCAATTAGGGTTAGTACTTGTACCCAATTCTTTCATAGTTCATTCATTCTCGTTCATTCTTCTGACATGGTTTCTGAGCAGGTCCTTACCTACGACCGTTTTTTTTTTGGGCCCACCACAGAGCTGCCCCACTCACTGCCCTACCCTAACAGTGCGCCGCCCTACAGCACAGCGCGCCGCCCTTCGCAGCCCACGAGCCGCCCCTGCAGCCCGCGCACTGCCCCTGCAGCGTCGAGCGCTGCCCTTGCAGCCTCGCGCGCCGCCCCTGCAACCCAGTACGCCGCCCTTGCAGCCCGCCCGCCGCCTCTGCAGCCCGCACGCCGCCCCTGCAGCCACGCGCACCGCCCCTGCAGCCCCGCGCGCCGCCCCTGCAGCCCGTGCGCCGCCCTTGCAGCCCCGCGCGCCGCATCTGCAGCCCGCGCGCCGCTCTTGCAGCCCCGCGCGCCGCCCTTGCAGCCCCGCACACCACTCTTGCAGCCCCGCGCGCTGCCTCTGCAGCCATACGCGCCGCCCCTGCAGCCCAGCGCGCCGCCCCTACCGCCCCTGCAGCCCTGCGAGCTGCCCCTGCCCCGCTTGCGGCCTGCCCGCCGCCCCTGCAGCTCGCGCGCCGCCCGCTTGCGGCCCGCCCGCCGCCCCTGCAGCCCGCGCGCCGCCAGCTTGCGGCCCGCCCGCCGCCCCTGCAGCCCGCCCGCCGCCCCTGCAGCCCGCTCGCTGCCTGCTTGCGGCCAGCTCGCCTCCCCTGCAGCTTGCTCGCCGCCCACCCTGCGGCCCACCTGCCGCGCCTTGCAGCCTGCGCGCCGCCACTTGCGGCCCGCTCGCCGCCCCTCTGCTCTGCTTGCGTGCTGCTCTGCTGGTAGCGCGCCACCCTGCTCTGCCCGCTATGGCTTCTCTCCGTGTCCTCACGTTCGATCATGAGGGCCGTCCGATCCAGTTCGACACGTGGCTCGACGACTTATAGCTATACCTACTGAGCGACTCTAGAGACAGCGTTTCGTTGTTTGACCACACGTCTGGCGCCTCTCTCGCCCCTCCCGCCACAGCTGACAGTGCGACTCGCTCACAGTGGCTTACCCGTGACGCTGCTGCCCGCTTAGCCATTCGCAACCACCTGCCGTTAGCCGAATGCGCTCACTTCGGACAGCACAGGACATCACATGACTGCTAAAGCACTGTACGACGCAGTAGTCGCCCGTTACTCCTCCCCTGCCACTGCTGCTCTAGGCCGTCTTATACTGCCCTACCTGTTTCCCGGGCTGTCCGCCTTTGCCACGGTAGAGGACCTCGTTTCCCACCTTCGCACTAACGACGCTCACTACCGCGCTGCCCTCCCAGCAGAGTTCCTTGACAAGAACCCCCCTCCGATGTACGTCACTCTCTACTTCATAGTCACTCGCCTCCCTGACTCTCTTCGCGCACTCAGGGACCACTTTCTCGCCCTTTACCCCACGGACCTCATTATTGACCTGCTCGAGCAGCACCTCCTTGCAGCTGAGACTAGTGCAGTCGCTGTAGGTGCCGCTCGTGGCACTCCTCGCACGCCCTTCTTTGAGGGGTGTTCCCCCTCCCCTCTTGCCCCCTCCTACGCCTCTGCTGCTGCTGTTGACGTCTTTGGTGCTGAGGCCGTCGGGGCTGCTTCTGCTAGTGGGAAGTGCCGTAGCAGCAAGGGCAAGGGTGGCAGGAGTGGTGGAGGTTTCAGCGGGAGTGGTAGTGGGGGCGGCAGTGGAGGTGGTGGAGGTAGTGGAGGTGGTGGCAGCGGTGGGAGTGGTGGCGGGAGTGGGGGCTCTGGTGGCGGCGGTGGTGGCAGCGGTGGGAGTGGCGGTAGTGGCGGCGGCGGGGGTGGTGGCAGTAAGGGTGGAGCTGTTCAGAGGGGAGGTTCTGGCGGTGGCCAGCGGCAGCAGCAGCAGCGTCGGAGCGAGACCCCTACGCCCCAGCAACTTTGTGAGTGGTTTGCTCAGCGTGGGGCGTCTGGGGGTAGTGTTAGCTGCCTGTATGTCATTCGCACGGGTGACCGTGCTGGTCAGACATGCGGGAAGCCTCACACTCAGCACCGCTGCTTCTCCCGTCTAGACGACGCTTGGCGCGCAGAGTTTGGTGACGAGGCCGAGCGCCCCCGCTGGGCAGAGCTCCTTCGGTGTGGAGTTGCTATCTTTGATCTTGACTATGATGTCATC